AGGTAACAGTCATTCTGGATCTTCTTAAGCTCTAGGGAGCTTGGGCAGTGGGTATTCCCTCTAGTGCCTTCTCTGCTTACATCCTTCTCTCTGGTTCTATAGCTTTTCTGGCAGAAGAGACCTCCTGGTGTCCTCTGGTCCTTGGCCCTAGCCAGTCTTGCTTTTTCCCTCTTTGGGCACCAAAGTCTGCAGGCGGCTGAGGTCATTAGTCCTTGGTATCTTCATCTCATGGAACCTGTGCAGGGTCTGTACTGAGACCCACGCCTTTGCACTGGAACCCTGCTGTGGTAGACGCTGTGTTCAGCTGAGTCAGCCCCACCTGCTCCGTCTCTCAGGGAGAGAGGATCCAGAAAAGTGGGTCAGATCCAGAAAAGAGGAGCGTCTGGACCCAACTCAGGGGCCCAGAGTAGTCAGTGATGCTGAATGAGGCTGTGCTGATGGGATTCAGGCCAGGAATGGCCACAGGACACAGGGCTGCCCAAATGGGCATCTGGAATGCCCGTTGAAGGGGGAAGCCCTGACTGTGTGCTCCTTCAGCCTCTGCTTGACTTCTTTATTCAATCTGAATTCCCACCAGTCAGAAATGAGTGCAAACACCAGGGGAATTAATGCTGGCTGCCATAACCACCACCACCACCACCACCACCACCACAAGACTGGTGGACAGCATGGAGGCCACACACTGTCCTAGCCCCTGCCCTATGAGGCCAGGCATAGAGATAACTCCCTCAGCATAGACTGCCTGGCATGGTGGCTACTCCTTAAGAGTCTTAATTGATTTTTTTTTTTTTTTGCTAGAGAACATATGTGCTCACTGGAGAGAGACAGAGAGGAAAGTGAGAAAGCCCCCATCAGGGGGGTGACCAAGCCACAGTCCATTCTCCTATCTCTCTCCTTCATTTTAGGATTTGGGGTGTGCACACACACACACACACACGCACCGATATTTTACTCAAACTGCCAGGTTCGAGACTCAAGCCACACAGCTCTGTGGGATTCAGCCACCTTAACCAGCACTCCACCAGCTGGTCCAATTTTTGTTTCCAAAGCTTGTTTATTTATTTCTTCTATATGTGAGAGAGACAGTGAGCGAGATCACACACAACCCAACTGAGTCTCAGCATCGTGGACTCCCCACCTTCAGCCAGTCCCAACCACAGGCATGTGCATGCTTGGCACACTCAGGGAGGTCTCTGGGTCTGAGCCTGAAACCTTCCCACGTGGGTCAGCCTCAGAATGTCACACTTCAATCCTATGCCACCCTGCAGCCCC